AGCTGCCTCCTGTCCCTCAGCTACAACGCGGGCAGGAAGGGGTTAAGCCCTAAGGCTGCATTGTGCCCCAGAGCCCAGGGAACCTGACTGCAGGGGCCTCAGTGACCCCGGCCAGAGAGGGGGCTCAGCAGGGGAGGTGCCCAGGAGACGGAGCAGCCCCGCGCTCCCTGGGGGCAGGACCCAGGGCAACAGAGAGGTGGGTGAAGGGGATGCTAAGCCCCTGCCCATGGGGCTGCTGTGAGTATGAATAGGCTTGAAATCGCTTCCCCCCACCTCCCCATCCTGAACACTAAAATTTCCCCTACCCCACAGATACTCACGTGCGGACACCCGGCTATGCCCGGCCAGCCAGCAGCCTGGAAAGGAGACGGTTCGTTAGGGACCAGATCCCAGAGCGACTCAATACAACACCCTGGTCTCAGATCCCCCCAATTGTGCGCACGCCCTGGTCTCAGAATCCCCTCCCCTATGGACACAAGCCCTGGCTGTCTCCAATACTCACTGAGGAAGAGGACAGTGCGAGCAGACGCCATGATGGGGGCAGCGAGTGGGCCCTCAGCGCTGCCACCAACACCCTGATGCCCAGCTCCACTGAGCCCCAAATAAGAAACTCAGCTGGTGGCTCCAGCTACAGGAAGTCGACAATGTCTCGTTTCTTCCTACGTCCATCACACCTTGTCTCTAATCTGCAGGCGAAATTTACTGCGGTCAAAGTAAGCAGAGGGCTTTGCAAAACCCAAGAAACCCGGGGGCTGTCAGCCTCACCAGGTGTCATGCAGCTCACAGCTTGTCTGTGTCTCTGTGGAGACGGGGGAACAGGCCACCCTCAACCTACCCTGCAGCATTGAGGAAGGTGCATCAGGCTAAGACCCAGGCGACCCTGGGATCTGGTCTTCAATCTTCCACTGACCACGATTTCCATGACAATTCCATCCCCTTTTCATTCTGGGTTCAAGCCCGGCTGGTGACCCATGTAGGTAAAGTTAATACCTGATTGTGCAATTAAAGGTTGGCGTCGTAATGGAGCTGCATGATGGGGAGAGTTAAGGTCGTTCAGGAAACCGTAACTATGGCATTTTCTGGTGCTGGAGAGTTTGACTCTGCAGCCTTCCCTGTAAGTCTGCCAACCTGCCCCCCTGCAACACGAGCCGTGGCACCATGTGAGGAGCGGGTGCGAGGGGGACGCCTGGGCTTGCTGCCCCTTGCGCCATAGCTGAGCGGTGATGACGGGTTTACACTGTAACGCCTGGTTCTAAGGGGCTTTTCTCAGTGTGTGAATTAAATCAACCAGGTTCAAAAGAAAATCAGAGAAAGAGAAATTCCACCCCAGGCCCCCAACGGGTCACCAGCCGGGAGAGACCCAGGGACAGGGCCGGTGCAACCACTAGGCAAACTAGGTGGCCGCCTAGGGCGCCAAGTGGTTGGGGGCGACAAAAAGCGCACTCAGGGGAGGCAGTGGAGTGGAGGTGAGCTGGGGCAGGGAGGCACGGGGAGGGCTACCTGCAGCAAGTAACGGGGGGGGGCGGCGTGCAGGGGAACAGCTCCCCACCCTAGCTCACCTCCGCTCCACCTTCTCCCCTGAGCACGCTGCCCCCACTCTAATTCTCCTCCCCACCCAGGCTTGCCGCGCAAACAGCTGATTGGCGCCGCAAGCCTGGGAGGTAGGTGAAGTGAAGCGGGACCGGCGTGCTCCAGGGAGGAGGCGGAGCGGAGGTGAGCTGGGGTGGGGCGTCTCCCCGGGCGGAGGTGGGGCGGGGAGCTGCTGCAGGGGGGGCCCCTGGGCAGAGGGTGGGGCGGGGAGCCAGGAGCGGCGCCAGGGTTTTTGGTGCCCTAGACGGGGGGGGTCCTTCCGCGCTCCCGGTCTTCGGGGCACTTCGGCGGCGGGTCCCGGAGCGAGTGAAGGAGCCGCCGCAGAATTGCCGCCCCCCCAAATCCTGGTGCCCTAGGCGACCGCCTAGGTCACCTAAATGGAAGCGCTGGCCCTGCGGGAGCTGACGCGGGGGGGCTCCCTGGCTCTTCCCCATGGCCTCCGCCCCTGCTCCGCCCCAGCCCCGCCCCCACGCCCCTGAAGACTGCAGCCAGGCCTGACCCTGCACTCACCGCATGGTAAGTGGAGGGACCCGGCCCCAGCGTGGTCCGCTCTCCTGGCTCCCAGCCATGCCGCCAGCGAGTGCTGGGGGGGGGCAGTTCCGCCCTCCCCCCAAGCCTGGGAGTCAGGGGAGCAGAGCAGGCTGGGGCCCCAGGCCTCCGTGGGGGACGGGGGACTGGCTACTTTCTGCAGGAAGTGGAGTGACCCGGCCCCAGCCTGCTCTGCTCCCCTAGCTAGAGGGGGGACGCAAGGTGGAAGTTTCATCTAGGGCGCTAAATATCCTTGCACCGGCCCTGCCCAGGGACCTTCTAATGCCCCCGCAGAGACCCTGCCCCGAGCTGGAGGAGACACTGTCAGTGGTTATGTGGCCAGGCCCCTAGAGAGGGACGTGACACAGGCTTTGTTTATACGCCATTGGCTAGAGGGCAGCAGAAAGCTGGGGGTCAGGGGGCTCTGTTCCCGGCTCCAGGAGGGGCGTGGGGGCTAGTGGTTAGAGCAGGGGGCTGGGAGCCAGGACCCAGGTGTGATAGTGGCGCCGTCGCCCGTCCGTTCTCACCCAGCGCTGGGTAACGCCGGGGGCACCGCGACTCGGGGGCAGCATTAAAGGTGCTGCAGGAGCCTGGTCAGATGGTTCCAATGGGCCTTTAATCCCCCAACCCCCTGCTCACCTGCCACCCCACAACCGCCCGGGAGCCCCCCCACATAGCTGCCCTCGGCCCCACGGAGCAGGAGGGGGATGAGTAGCAAATTTGCCCACAACTAACACCCCCCAAACCCTGCCTGCCCCCCATCTCCCATCCTGCCCCCTGGTCTATCCCCCTTCAAATCCCCCCAGCCTGGCACCTTCACACCCCCCACATGTCCGCTTCCCACTCCTGTCCCCTGCCCTGTTTCCCCTCAAATTCCCATCCCCCAGCCTCAGTTAAGATGGCCGCCATCTCTCATTGTCCCCAGTGGGCTTGGCACCAGGCTGCCAGGTGCCAGGAGCTGGGGGGGGGCAGGGCAGTGCCAGGGAAGGGGGGACAATGGAAGCTGCCCCCCTAGTATTTGGGGGGCACCTGGGTTCCCCCTCGTGAGCGTTTCAGGGTGAATGTGCCCCATGGTCAAGGGGAACTGGGGGGCGTCACCTGCCCCTTGCTTTCCTCGCCCCTCCTCTAGCTGGCCAGAGGTGCCCCAGCTCAGATGGAGTTTTGGCAGGAAAACAAATCCCCCACATCTGCTGACCCCGACTTTGTGAGAGGGGAGCCCCTCCCCCATCCTCACCCCATCTCCCCTCCAACCTC